CCCCAAAACCCCAAAACCCCAAAACCCCAAAACCCCAGAAGGGAGTGGATTGTTGAGATAAGTTTTAAGTGCGGGTTTTGGGACTGGGGGTGGCTGGGAGGTTAGAGGTTTTGGGTAATTAGGCTGTTGATGATGGTTTTTAGGTCATTGTTCTCTTGTTCTAAGCTGGACAATCTTTTGAGAATGCCAGAACATCTGGAACAACTGCTCTGGTAAGTACAATGAGCAGGAATGACTTGGCCAGAGCATGAAGACTTTTGAGTTGAAAGTTGTGTGCTAAAGGAAATTATAATTCCATCGATGAATCTTAGAGATAACTAAAAGTAAGGGTCCAAGCTACATGCATATCTTCTCTAAAAATTTGATTACTTGAGGCTTATAACTTCCTTGCTAGTATCAGGCTCCTGGGAACCCTCCTCTTGCAGAGAGCGATCTGTCTTTGATTTGAACTGCATGAGGCTTGGGATTCTGGAGGAATCTATGTCAGATATTAGGTGTTCAGAGATATCCCAAGTTTCTTCTGTAGATGACAGAAGGAATTTAGGATTTCTTGTAGCCTTTAATTTTATGCTAAATCTGGAGTTAGAAAGGGATAGTTGATTGACTGAGATTAATAGATACTTACCAAGGATTGTCTTCAAACTCATAATTATTTACAGAGAAGTCTCTGGTTGTCTTATCAGCTAAATTCCTTCTTCACTGAAGATCATCAGTCTGGTCTCCCAAGTTCTCAGTCAGATCCTTCAAGGTCAGTGTTCTTCCTAGCTTAGGATGTGTTATGGGGAACCTTGTGAGAGGAGAATGATGGGATTTGTTGTCTAAACAGAACAAGTTGGTTAGAATTAAGTCAGCCTTACGCTTATCCTTTGTTCCAAATTTGACTACCTTTTTTGACCCTGATCTTACTGTCTATGATCTGTAAGAATCCCCCGTAAAAGTTCAAGACTTACTGTTAAGTCTGAGTAGAGCTTAAAATTTGAGTAGCACGGCATCTTCTCCCTGAAGTTAGCAAATCTCGAGATTTTGAGGAGGTTCTTTCTCCTTCTGCTGTTCCTACTCGTAGATGGATGAGGGATCTTGAGAGAATTCAGTAAGGACATTTATAAATATTTCAATATTTTATCAAGTGTAAGGGGTTTTGGGGTTTTGGGGTTTTGGGG